CTGTCCTTTAAAGATCATCTATTCATCAACCCTCACTCCAAAAACAAGGGCATTCTGGGAAGCCAGACTCCATTTCCTTTAGTATTCAGAGGAAAGAAGAAGCCTAATCCATGGCACACGTTCATATGAGGACAAAAATCCACATCCCATACAGACAGCATTGCTGGTGAGATTTAGATTTATCTCAGTGGTGGGATTCAAAAAATTTGAATGGCTTGGTGGGTGTGGCAGGCGAAGGATACTGCAAAATCCCCATTTGCTCCTGATCAGCTGGGACTCACGAGGCAGAGAATAGATGGGGGCGGGGCCAATCAGAAGTGGCATTTACTGGTTGTCCAAACTATTCAATATTTCCACTACTGGTTCACCAGAACTAGACAGAAGCTGCTGAATAAAACCTCTGGTTTATCCATATTTGTTAATTGTTATGCTCACCAGCAACTCAGCACTGCTTATTGTGTATTTGGGTTCTCATTGTATGTATTTCTATTTTTCCCCCCAATTTCACTATCCTGTTCTTTTAATAAAAAACCCAGATCTACGCACACAATCTGTTTTATTGGAGGATGTGGGTGTAGCTGCAGGTCAAGCTGCACACAGAGTAATCTGAAGCGAGGAAAAAACACCCTTTGGGACCTTTTTTGTTTAAAAAATTGTCCCATTATGTAAGAAATTGGCATGTTGGCATGATGGAAATAAAGAACAACAGCAAAATATTTACGCTTAGATCTTTCGGTTAACATCCATATTGACTGAAATACTCTGGATGAATCCACAAAGCTTCCCCTTTCATCAGGTGTCACCCACCTTCCTGAGTGGAGATGGTTTCTTCTGGACAAGGAATGCAGTCATAGCAACAAACTGGTTCTCCTTCTCTTGCCCGCTTGAAAAATCCAGGATGACAGTTTTCCACACATTTGGACTGAGGCAGAGACTAAGCAGAAAAAATATTAGATATTTCTTTTAAAAAATCTACTACTATTTTATTCTACTAGATCAGAGGCATCAAAGTAAATTTCATTGAGGGCTGCATCAAGGTGATGTTTGAACTCAATGGGCCAGCTCAATGTCATTCATGTCAGGGGCGCCTGTGGTGGTCCGAGAGCTATGCCAACGAAAATGGGCTCCTGAGCTCCAATTTCATTGGCAGAGTCACTGCAGGCCTATCTGCTGTTTCAAGTAGCTCTTGAGTTTGACACCCCTGTACTAGATTTATAAAAAAAATAATAAAAAAATTGATGGAGAAAGAAACCTTTGACCAGTAGGACTGGAAAGTTTTCTTATGGACTACATAATGGATTGCAAAGCTGCTTCCTTTTGAAAGTACTCAAAAAAGTCTCCCACTTAAGATACACAGGAGAAATTCTTCTAAAATTAGGGATGCCCACTTTAAAGAAGATCTGTTTCTGTGTATATTTATCTGTTCAATTCATATGGCCACCATGCAGTAGAACTGACTGCCTAATTTCTAGAACTTTACTGAGATGAGGTAGAGGTGAGATCATGGGAATGTATCTGTCAAATAGGTGAAATCAAACATCTTTTCCTGCAGCAAATGGTAGCTGAGTATGAGTCCTCTGTTGGAATGAGATGACAATAGGACTTAGACTTCGAAAGCTTAGTCAACCTTGGGTGGTCAGGATCAAATTTCTGGCAGTGGGCAGAGACAGCCTGCAAAACTGCATTCTAACCACTGTGTCACCANAATAACTGAGAGGATGATAATTACACTGAGAATCAACTTCTCCTCAGGGGACCCTGACATTTTTTCCATGTGGAAAGGGAGAGCTGAAGAAAAGCATGTCATGACATGTCCAGTAAGTGATGCCAGAGGAAAATAGTTCAACATTGAGAAAATTTATTTCTGCTGTGCTTCAATGTGATATCTTGTCTCCAGAGACTGCTTTGTAAGGTCATCAAGAACTATGGAGTTTGGTACTACCGAAGTTGATGACTCTTAGCTCCAATATTGCCTCGTTTCTAATGCCAAGGAAGCAACTATTATCCTTGAACCCTGCTTACGAATACAAATAGAGTTTTATTGTGGTTTTCTTTTCTATTAGATATTAACCTTAATTTGGCTCTGATGTTAAAACCGCTTGTGTCTCAATTGAAATTTCATTTCCCATCTATACTAGAAATATCAACATTTGGAAGAGAGTTGGCTAAGGGATAGGAAAGGGACAGTCTGGTGACTGCATTGTTGGGTTAATAGGGAGAAATTTATAGAGTAGATAGAAGTTTTTATTTTTGTTTCTTGACATTCTGTGTTATTCCTCCACATTCATGTAAAACACTGAGATCATTTATATTTTGAAAGTTTACTAAATAGGAATGGGCTTTCAAACTTGCAACTGAGATTGTGGTGGAGTTCATAGCATGGTGGAACATGTGATCTGCTACACTCTCATGAACCATAATTTCATGGGAGCTTGTAACATTTCTTCAGGTTTTGCCAACATGCCTTGCGTGGTATTAAGGTTTATCTTGTGGCGACAAGAATGGCGAAGCTTCAATGCCTCTCTGCTCTTATTTAATCCTCTAAATGCTACTGTCCTGACCAACTTTAGGTGACTCTTTTGCAAGCTCCTGTTTCAAAAAACAGAAAACTTGGCACAGAAACCCTGGCTTTGTTTGACATTTTGTTGTGCATATCATTAGAAGAAAATTGTGGTTCAAATTCAGTCTGGGTCTTCCAAAGGGCACACAGGGCAAGCTACTAGAGGCAGAGGCAAAGTTCATTTCACATGGTTATTTTTATAGAGCAGCATTTCTTTTGTCCCAAGAAAACACATGGACTTGAAAACACATGAAATTTACGTGAGGAAATGTGTCACTGGAATGGATAAATAGAGAGGATAAATATTCAATAAATAGTACATAATTGGTGGTAATTAAAGCATTTTCCTTTATATATGTTTTTATTTTTTTAAAAAGACTTAAACAAAACACGTAACATAAAAACATCTTCCATTCCGTTCAGTGTGTCGATTGGTTACAAGGTTTTTGTGCATCCTTTCCATAGTCATCCCTTAAATTTTATATAAAATCACATATTGTCAATCAAGTATATTTGTATACATTATTATTATTGCCCTTCATTTGTTTGACTGTCCCTATTATTTCTTCATTTTAAATGAGGTATTCTAAATATGGGTGCATTTATATTATAATAATTCATTACATCATCTTCAACATGTCCAATAATAAGTATTTTTATATCCTATTTTAAATCATTGTATTATTTTGGTGTTGGCAACATTCTCTAATAAATTTTCAATTCCATATTTTTTTAATGGAACCACTAATTAAATAGATCCCATGTCCTATAAAATTGTTTATCTTCTTGTTCTCTAATTTCATATGTCAACATTTTCATTTTCGCACATTCCATTGCTCATATCATCAATGTAATATATATGCATACAATTATTATGATTATTAAACATTCATCGAATATAGCTATTATTACATCCTTTTTATGTGAAGCATACTAAATTTAGAGTAAATTTATATTATGACATTTCATTACATCATCCTGGACTCATCCAATGGTGTTACATCTTTGTATTCTATTCTATATAGAATNTCTCCTTGACCACCGACGTCAACAGTCCCTCTATCGTCACTGTCATCAGCGGAGAGGAACATTTTGAGGACTACGGAGAAGGGAATGAGGGGGACCTTTTCTCGGACAGCTTGTGCAATGGAGAAAGTGGCTTTAGTAGCTCGTCTTTCCTTTCTCCCAGGTATTATTAGCACCTGCGAAGGCGCCTATTCTCCAGAGGGTAGGACAAGGAGCAATGGGTGGAAACTAACCAAGGAGAGAAGCAACTTAGAACTAAGGAGAAATTTCCTGACAGTCAGAACAATTAATCAGTGGAACAACTTGCCTCCAGAAGTTGTGAATGCTCCAAAACTGGAAGTTTTAAAGAAGAGATTGGATAACCATTTGCACGAAGTGCTGTAGGGTTTCCTGCCTAAGCAGGGAATTGGACTAGAAGACCTCCAAGGTCCCTTCCAACTCCGTTATTCTAAATTTAAGTCTCCTCTTTTGACTTCCATTACATGAAGTCCTCGATTTAGCAACAGTTCGTTTAGTGGCAATTCCAAGTTACCTCTAACAAGCAAAGTCAATGGGGAAGCCAGATTCGCTTAACAACTGGGTTACTAACTTGACAGCTGCAATGACTCATTTAATAACTATGGCGAGAAAAGTCATAAAACGTGGGAAAACTCACTTAGTAAATATGTCTCTTAGCAATATAAATTTTGGGCTCAATTGTGGTCGTAAGTTGAGGACTATCTCTATATTCTATCTTTGCATCTTAAGGCTTCATTTAATCATCATGATTCAACATTGGTCTGCAGGTATGTAGCAATAGCAATAGAACTTGGACTTATATACCGCTTCACAGTGTTTTCCAGCCCTCTCTGAGCGATTTACAGAGTCAGCATATTTGCCCCCAACAATCTTGGTCCTCCTTTTACCCACCTCGGAAGGATGGAAGTCGGAGTCAACTTTGAGCCAGTGAGAATCAAACTGCCGAATTGCTGGCAGAAGGCAGTAAGCAAAAATAGCCTGAAATACTGCACTCTAACCACTGTGCCACTGCGGCTCATATACTTCCTTTCTTTTCTCTTGTTTTGTTTAGCAGCCAATCACATCTGCCTCTTATTTTATGGTTGGATGAACCAAATAAGCCACAGTTTGCTGGATTCACATGAAGCAGGAGAGCCTACACCATTTCTGACAAATGGCAGTCCAGTCTCTTCTTGAAAGCCTCCAGTGATGAAGCTTCCACAACTTCCAAAGGCAACTTCTGTTCCATGGGTTGATTGCTCTCACTGTCAGAAAGTTCCTCCTTATTTCCAACTTCTGTTCCATTCAGTGATGGATTTCCATTTTTTTTACTACCAGTTTGCTCATGGATGATCCGGGCTGAACTGGGAGCAACTCATCTCTGGTTCCATTGGTTGATTGTTCTCACTGTCAGGAAATTTCTCCTTATTTCCAGGTTGAATCTCTCTTGATCAGTTCCATCCATTATTCCCTGTCTGGCCTTTGGGTGCTTTGGAAAATAGTTTGATCCCCTTCCTCTCCGTGGAAGCCCCTCAAATATTGGAAGTCTGCTCTCATGCCTCCCCTGCAGTGGTGGGTTTCCATTTTTTACTACCGGTTTGCTCATGCATGTGTGCGATGCTTTTGCGCATGTGCAGAAGCAGCCTGACAGGTGGGCGGAGCTTCCCATTGCCACCAATACCAGTTCACCCCATCTGGGTCGAACTGGCAGAAACCCACCTCTGCTCCCCTGGTCCTTCTCTTCCCTAGACTAGCCATGCCCACTTCCTGTATCTGATTTCCAGAAAAGGAGACGGGTTTTAGAGTAATGCCAAGCTTCCATTCATCAGCAACCAAAGTGGCCAGAATGATCCCTGTGGATCGAAAGAGTCAAGGAAGGTTTGGGAAATGCTCCATTTTTCATCGGCTGCTCAGAGTCACACGCTTTCCCTTGTTCTCCTGAATCTCATCCTCATTCGGTTCAGCCTGCGATGCCATCATTCACAGTCCATGCATGCTGAGGTGTGGTTTCAGGGTCTCCCTCTGTTTAGCAAATATTTCGGAGGAAACGATCTGTTCAGCTGTTTCCCTGATTGCCAAGATTACAGAATGACAACAAACATTATTTGGGGGATTGGAGATGAAATTACAGCCCTCCCCCTCCGTCGTCTGTGGCGAGAAGCAGATGCAGTGTTAATTTTCAAGCTGCAATGTCCATTACACCAAGCTGTGGAATCACAGCGCATTAACATTGCAGCCAGCTGCCGTTGGATGCTTCCTTGGTAGAACTAATAATAAACTCCATTGCTTGCTGGAAAGGGGGAAAAAACCCTGTATAATATTAAGAAAGGGATGGAGAGAAAATTGTTTTTCCAGGGACAGCTGCCTACAATAATGGTTATTTGAGTAAAGGAAGAGTCATCTGCTCTATGTCAGCGGTCCCCAACCTTTTCAGCTTGGTGGACCGGAGGGGGAGAGCGGATGGTTCCATGTGAGGGACAGGTGCTCATGTGAGCATAGCTCCAGTTGTGCACATGGAGCTTTGTGTGCAAGCACAAGTGCCCACCATTCACACAAGTGCAGCAGCGCATATATGCACACTCATCCACTGCTTCTGCAGCCCAGTTCTGAACAGGTCATGGCCTGGAAGTGGGCTGCAGGGATCAGCAACCCGTGGCTCTGGAGCCACATGTGGCTCTTTCATCCCTTTGGGGAGGCTTCCTGTTGCCAGTCAGCTCCACAATTGATAGGGCTTTTGGTTAGGACAGTGTTGTGGTCTGCCAGCAGACAGTGGATCTAGTAGCAGAATTGGACAGTGGGAAGGTTGGGAAGGAACATGGGCCAGCCCTGGAGTCTGGGGAAGGCTTGGACGAGGGCTCTGCGTCAGAGGCAGAGAGGAGACCAAGGGTATCTGGTAGTTGTTTGCTGCCTCTGGAGCCTCCAGAGTGAGGCAGAAGAACAATGGGAGCCTGTTCCCAGTGTGTGGATGCGCAGAGCTGCCAGAAGGCAAGAACAATGAAAGAAATAGGGTCGACTTGGGAGTAAGGCTTGGAGATGATTGGCCCCTCCCATAAGACATAAAAGAGGAGTGAACGGGACATGAGCTTTTGCAGGAAGCAATTAGTTCATCTGGTCGGTTCAAGCTTTGAAAAGTTCTGTTTGACTCTGTGCTAAGTTTGGCCTTGCTGTGCAACTCGAGCAGACATCTGTCGAAACCTTCACAGACTGTTTGCGAAGCCTTGCGGACTGTTAATGACCATAATTTACAGCCATATAAATAAAAGAGGGGTTTTGGGACAATGATTGTGATTTTTATGAGCCGAGGTGGCGCAGTGGTTAGGGTGCAGTACTGCAGGCCACTTCAGCTGACTGTTATCTGCAGTTCAGCGGTTCTAATCTCACCGGCTCAAGGTTGACTCAGCCTTCCATCCTTCCGAGGTGGGTGAAATGAGGACCCAGACTGTGGGGGCGATATGCTGACTCTGTAAACCGCTTAGAGAGGGCTGAAAGCCCTATGAAGCGGTATATAAGTCTAACTGCTATTGCTATTATGCTTTCTCAGGAAGCTTACGTTAGAATAGACAGGTAGAGGAAAAAGGACTCTATGGTGGGGGTACCGCACTTCTGGTTAGCAAAGAAAAAGGGACAGTGTGCTAGGAGGAGACTCTATGGTGGGGGAACCGCACTTCCGGTTAGCAGAAGAAAAAGGATGCTGTGTTAGGAGGAGACTCTATGGAGGGGGAACCGGACTTCCGGTTGGCTTCAGAATTGAATGGGGGGCTTCTGGTTAGGACTTTTGTGACTCTTTGAGAGTTTAAGGTTACCGACCCCTGGTCTATGTGATCATGGGCTACAGATGTATCAGATATTAAGCAGAGAAGGATTGGCATGCAACCAAAATTTGCCTAATAGAAGTCTGTGGAATAACAAATCACAAAAAAAGCTATCCTAATTCATTATTCAAGAGCCAAGACAACATTGATTCAACTCCAGTCCTTTTGCATCTGTTAAACAATGGAAAACTTGTTACTGTTGTATTTAAACTTGCTGGTACCTAAGGATAGGAAACATAACGGCGGTAAGTTTCTTTTAATAAAAGATGGAACCTGCTATTGCTTTTAGGCCAGTGTGGGACAGAATCCCCTCGAGTTCTCCTTTGTCCTCACCTAAACATTTACAAAATGATTTTTTTTTAAATTCCTCAAAGAAAAATGATTTTCTTTGAGTGCATGTTTCTGAAAGATGCATAATAGAGGCAAGAGCTTATAGTGAGCACATTTACAAAGGACGTGCCAATTAGCATTTTAAAAGGTGTCTTGCAGAAGTTTCATTGAAAAATAGCATAGAATATAGTAGAATTCTTTATTGGCCAAGTGTGATTGGACACAGAATTTGTCTTTGGTGCAGATGCTCTCAGTGTACATAAAAGGACAAGATACAATCGTCAAGAATCATAAGCACTTAATGATAGCCATAGGGTACAAATAAGCAATCAGGAAACAATCAATATAAATATAAATCTTAAGAATATAAGCAAAAAAGTTAGTCATGCAGTGATAAGTGGAAGGAGATGGGTGATAGGAACGATGAGAAGACTAATAGTAATAGTAATGCAACCTTAGTGAATAGTTTGACAGTGATGAGGGAATTATTTGTTTAGCAGAGTGATGGCATTCAGGGAAAAACTGTCCTTGTGTCTAGTTGTCCTGGTGTGCAGTGCTCTATAGTGTCATTTTGAGGGTAGGAGTTGAAACAATTTATGTCTAGGATGTGAGGGGTCTGTAAACATTTTCACGGGCGTCTTTTTCACTTGTGCAGAATACAGGTCCTCAATGGAAAGCAGGTGGCAGCAATTGTTTTTTCTGCAGTTCTGATTATCCCCTGAAAAATATACTTACATTATTGGATGTTGCGTTAAATACATTATCTATGTCAAGATGACTTTTGAATATCAGTCATTCTGAATTTTCCTCCAGCTTTTTTTTATGTCAAAAAAGAGGAAACATTACCTTACTATTGAAAGAAGTAAACTGGAAACGATATTGGTAAAGTGTGCGTCCGTAGCAATAGAAATGTTTATAATACAAGTTTGTCTCTTTAAAAAAAACCACCTTCATTTAGGATTCAATTAAAACATTTCAAGAGCCTTTTCTTCATTCTTTCACAATGGTGGTTAACCCCCTGAAGACAAATTAAAACCAAGCTAAGTTAGAAATATGTTTAAACAAATAGCTATTAATATAACTAACCAACAGATCTACAATAAGTGTTTGAAAAATGTAACTGTGAACGAGTAAAGAAAATAATTCAACGGTACTCTGACTGTAAACAGATTTCTCCCATCATGGCGAAATGCTATGTTTACAAATCTTGCTGATCAGAATTACATTGTTTGATGACCATAATGTTAGGTGCAAAGGATCAGGCCCATTCTTTAAGTTGCTGCATATAATCTCTCTCTCTCTCTCTCTCTCTCTCTCTCTCTCTCTCTCT